AGCGCGGCCGGCCCAGCCCCGCCGCCGGCCCGCAGGAGGAGTGCGGCCTGCCCGCCGAGGCGGTCCTCGCCCCGCTGAGGGAGGCCCTGGCCGCCTGCCGACCCGCCGTGCAGGTGAGGCCCCGGCACCTTCCTCCGGCGGCAGCGCCGGGGGCTGCCCCTTTGCGGGGCGCCCGTGGGGAGCCGTCCCCGCCCCCGGGGGCTCCCCGGAGGTACCGGGGGGAGGGGGAGGGCAGGTCCCCCGTGCAGCTCATTTCTGCTTCCAGAAACAAGTGTGCGACGACATCGGGCGGCGGCTGACGGTGCTGGGGGACGCCTGGGCTCAGGGGAAGCTGTCGGCCCCTGTGAGGAGGAGGATGAGCCTCCTGGTGCAAGGTGAGAGGGCTGGGTCTGGGCCCTCGGGAAAGGGCCCCCCAGGGAAGCCGAGCTGGCACCGCTGACGGGTTCCCCTTTCCTGGCAGAGCTCCAGCAACAGCACTGGGATGCAGCCGACGAGATCCACCGCTCGCTCATGGTGGACCACGTGAATGAGGTGAGCCAGTGGCTGGTGGGCGTCAAGCGCCTGATCGCCGAGACAAGGAGCCTGCCAGCTGCGGTTATGGATGGCAGTGTCGAGGCTGAGCCTGGCCAGGAGGATCCCTGATGCCAGGGTCAGGGGTGTGGACTGTGAGCCCCCACTGCCCAACAGGGTCTGGGCACCTCCTCTGCCTCCCGCTCCTTGCCCAGGAAAAGGGGATTTTAATCATGGTGACATTTTGGTGGTGATTCACTACGTGATGTTTAATAAACAGCACTAACCTGCCCCTGGCTGGAGCCTGTGCTGGGGTTCTGGCACCTGACAGGTCCAGGGTCTCTCCCAGGAACAGCAAGAGATGGGACTGCTGGGCAAGGCTACCACCAAGGGGGCACACGACACAAAGGGAAGGAACGACCCTGGCAGCACCCTCACCGTTGCCCAGGTTGAGGGGGCTGCAGTGTGTTTCCCTGCTGCCCCTGTTGGCAAAGCCTGAATTTCCCTCTGGCCTTGTCCTGGCAGTGGGGGGGGAGGGGGACCCACAACAGTCAGCACATGGCCCAGCTCTGCTCGAGGAGGAGACGGCCCTTGGGCTTTTAGGCGGGGGAGGCTGACCTGGTGCGAGCCCACAGCACCCTGACGTAGCCAGGGTTTGTGCTGCAGCAAGAGCCTGTGCTCCCCTCTGAGCTCCTGCCTGTCCTGACACAGCTCAGACCGAAGCCTGGGACCCAAAAGACCTGGGTGGCCACAGGGACATCCAGGGACAAACATCCCGGTGCTAGTGCTGCCCACCAGGTCAAGGTAAACTCAGGGTGTTAACATTCACCTTGGATAGCCGTGCTCCTCCCTCCCACGCTCACAGGAAGGCCTCACCAGCTTCCCCCACCACAGCTGGGGCAAGCTGCAGGTGGCACTCAAGCCTGGGAGTAAACCCTGAGGCTCTGCATTCACCACTCCCAGCCTGCAGGGTCTCAGGGCAGGAGGGGGAGATTCTCTGCACTCTCAAAGGGCTCCTGGTGCTGCTTGGCTCCTCTTAGCTCCCCTCCCTGATCCTTTGAGGACCCAGCAGTGCCCCAACATAGAGATGCACCAGGTCAGCACAGGGGTTTCATGGTGTTTATTGATCAAGCATGAGCTCCTAGGCAATTGCACCAGCCAGTTGTGCTAGAGCCTGAGGTGTCACACGTTCATCCCCAGCATCAGAGAGGGCTGCAGCCAACTGGTCACAGTGCCAGCACCTCCACGAGGCCCAGGAACAGGCCCAGCCATGACCTGGAGACAGGGAGCTGGAAACTCAGATGTCCATCTCAAACTGGTCTTGATCTGCAAGGGTACAGAGGGATACAGGGCCAGGGTTAGGATAGCACTGCCTTGAAAGAAATGTGCAGGCAAAGGGTGCAGGAGCTTCAACTGGAGCTGAGCCAGGATCTCCCCTTGCCCTTGCAGCCAGGCAGGAGCCCCATTCCCCAAGCAGTGCATAGGCAGAAGCTGTGTGCCTGGGCTTCTCACCTGGCGTGGCTTCTTCGCTCTCATTCTGCTCCTTGAGCTCCTCCAGCTTGACGAGGCTGGACTGGGCCAGGGATGTGACACCGGGGATCTGGGGCAGGCAGCAGGGAGGGGTCCTGGCCACGGGTGAATTCTTGCACTCCAGCAGGAACTTGCGGTCGTAGATGATGCGGGTACCTGCCAAAAGCAGGGGGGTGTCAGGCACTGCTGGCCCCTGGCTGCCCCCATCTCCAACCTCCATGGCCCAATCCTGGAGCACAGGGTGGGACCCAGCACTTGGCCAGAGCTCGAGGACATGGCTGGCTCTGGAGTCACTGTGGGGCTTCCCACATGGCAGACTGACACCCATCCTGCCCAGCAGCTCTTCCCCACAGTGTTCCTACCCTTGAGTCTCCTGGAGCTCTGCCAGGGAACAGCGCAGGGGGTCCAGCCTTGACATGGATACCCCATGGCAGCAGACACCACCGCCAGCCCTGGGGCACTTGGCACAGCCCCACAGCCCCAGTGCACCCTGCCCAGAGACGGCTGCAACAACAAATGCTGGGTACCCCACATTGGCACCACAGGGAGCTGTACCCAGAGACCAATTCCCATTGGCTCAGCCAGGGAGCCACCCTGCTGTGCCATGTAGGAGGACAAGGTGCCGGGTTTGATGGGACCAGCCTGTGGGGTGTACAGCCCAGGGCAGTGCTCCCCTGGGGCACATGCTGTACCCCTCACGTGCCATGTCTGCTGCCCTGCACCAGAACCAGGCCTGCCTTCCCCTGCCTTGCTGTCCCTGTGGCTGAGCACTGCTTCCCTGCCAGGCTCTGGTCCTGAGCCCAGAGCTCCTGTGCAGCCAGGCCCTGCCTAGCACTGCAAACACACCAGGGCAAGCTGCAGCCCTGCCAGCCCCGGACCTGGCTCCCTAGCCCCAGATAAGCTTATCAGAGGCACACAATGGAGCCAGCGACCACAGGGTGGGTGTCTGTGGCTCAACTGAAACATGCCCAGCTCCAGATGGGGCACATGCTACCCAGAGGACAGACAGCAAAGAAAAGGACCTGCTGAACCAGGGGCATTGGAGGTGGTAGTGAAAGGAGGGCAATAGGGCAGGCCCAGGTAACCCTGGAGGGAGCTGTGCACCCTGTACCTTCCCCCAGGGCTGGTGAACTCGGGTGGGAGCAGACTAGTCCCCTGTGTCTCCCCCAGTTCCACCCAGCTGTGCCTGGCATGACCTGCCCCTGCGGGACCAGCGCTGCATCCACTACCCCAGCAGACTGAGCACCTGGCACTGCCTCTTCCTACTCCCCCTGGGACCTGTCCTCTAGCAGTATCTTCCTACAAAACTCTGGGGTTCCCTCTTCCCCTCCAGCTCTGGGCTGCCAGGGAAGCCACCACTCCATGGGTCTGCCTGGATCTGGTGCCTGAAGTAGGCACCCATGTCCCCAGTGAACAAGCTGCAACGTGGAGAGCCCAGGAAGGGACCTGCTCAGGAAGGAGCTGCCTTAATTAGACCAGGATGGGGCAGCTGTGGCCATTGTTCTGTTCAAGGGACAACTCCCTCCCCGTGCTTGTTCTTACCCCCTGGTGTGGTGGAGTAGATGGTGCCACCGGTGTGGAGCTGTAGCCCTCTGGGATTGGGCAACGGTGGCTCCCTGGGATGGGGCAGGAGGTGGTGGTGCTCATGGCGGCCCTGGAGCCCGGAGGGGTGGGGAGGAGCCTTAACGCCTGCCCCACGCTGCCCTCTCTGCAACTCACCCCAGAGCAAACACCTACCGCACTGCCACACCTCCTGTTGGCAGTACAGTCACTGCTAACACCACTGCTTCTCCTTTGGCATTTGCACTATCAGCCGGGTGGCAGCACTTCAGTGGTTTTTGACTTCCTTCCTCAAATATCAGGAAAAATATCTGAATATAGCATCCAGTAGCATTTCTGAGGTTTATTTGCCTGCGGTACTCAGATATTGCTTGTGCGCTTTGGGTTTTCAGTACTCCTTCCTCACGCTTTTCCCAGGGAACCTCTGCTGCTGCATGTAAGGATGCGTCTGGAGAAGATGGAGAAGTCTCCATCTGCTCTGAGAGACCACCAGAAGTGGTCCATTAGATTGGACACTGTGCACTGTAGTTACCTGCTTGAGGAATGGACCAAATATTCAGTGTAGTTATTGCATCGCCACTGAGCAAAAGCAGAAATAAATATAGTCCGAGTGCAGAAAGTGGAGAACTTCTGCACCTGGGTAGAGAATGAACGTTCATCTTAAGCAGTATGCAAAAATCCCCTTCTTCCTCGTGGGAAGGAATTGAGGAGCTCTTACCAGATTTAAAGGCTTACAAGAAGCTTGGAATTGAATACGTTATGTTTTTTCTTTAGTGCAAAGTTGTCTCTGCTTTCCTAAGATCTGCTTCTAGGCAGCTGGTCACAGCAAATCAGGTGAAGAAACCCTGCATTTATTTACCTACGAGCTAACTATTTAGTTTAACCTTCTGCAAATTAAGATGCCATCAGCTGCCACGTTGTTAACTCAGCCCTTATTTCCAGCCCCTGAACAAAACCCAATCTCCCAGGCAACCTACCTCAAAAGAGTGCTAGAAGTAGCAAAACTAATCCAGAAGGAAAAAAAAGTAACAAACACAACCAGGTTGGCATACACACAAAAAAAACGCCTAACAAGTGGCAGGGGGAGGGCTCAGCAGACCTCGCACCCCAGGCAACTGCAGATCAAAACCCTCCCCCAAACCCTGACTGCATGCACCTGCTAATTACGTGACCCTGAAAAGATGCATCATTGGGCACAGCAGCAGCTACCAATGAGAAAAACATACAGCCTCTTCCAAAATTCTCACACACAACCTATAGTACTGTTTGCCTTTTATTGAATATTCAGGTAAATATTTCACATTAATACAGGCTACATAAAGTAGAGCCACTATAGGCATGAAATTTACTCATTTACTCAAGTTTTCCTTTTAAGTATGTAAACAATTATACATGTATTTACCACCCTAAAAGGTTGAAATCATGAAATCAGCTAGTTCAATAGCGTTTAGCCAAAAGCACTAGTTTAGTCTGATTTTTAAGATCAAAATGGCTAAACTAACTGGAGAACAGTATCAGTTTGTATAGGTAAATCAATTTGTTCTTATACAATGGGCAATCAATTTTCCAAGCCCACAGAAAATTGCTTAGTTAGGCACATTAAAAAAAATCCCCAGGGTTCTTCAAGATCATAAAGATTCCCAAACAAGGCTAAAAAAGGACAGACCCCCTTAAATCAGTTGACGTACTTGAGATGCATGTTTCCAATGTGAGGTGCCCAGGTGCCAGGCCAAATCTACAGCAAGAAATAAAAAGACAAGTCTATTATGAAAACAAATAAAAGTTCCTTTAACAGAGCGTTTAACCACTAGAGGGCAAGCTTAAGGCTTCTCCCTAAAACATCAGGCTGTCCAAAGGCTGGGAGGCCTCTTCAGCTCTGGTCAAGGTCTGACTGCAAGATGCCAAATATGGACATAAACCCTCTCATAACAAAGTTGATTACCTGGCTGAGCACTCTTGAAATGCTGCTCATTTTACCTGAAAGGTTTGGTACAGATAACACCATATTCTTTTTAATATAAACACACGCTGTAGGGGAAAAGGCATGCAAACAATTTCAATTCTAGTATCACAGAACTGAAAAAAGTGTCACCTATCCAAAAAATTAAGGAAAACAAAACACAAAGCACAACACCATAAAAGGCCCCAGGTAAGCAAAGGTGGAAAAAGGCAGCCACAATACCTGCTGAGCATCAGTACAT